TGATACTAATACTTCTCGTTGAAAAAAGTGGCTGTATCTGTTAGTTGACAAATTATCAACATCTTTTAAGAGATCTTGGTCGTCGGAGAAATTGAGTATTTTCTAAAGTTGGAAAGTCTCAATATCATTCATTGACAAATTAAACAGTAAAGGTAAGCAATAAACATCCCGTGTGACTCCTAATGAAACCAATATCATTATTCCTCTCAAGGTACACCTCCTTCCCCACCTCATCAGTTTCAGTTTGTGGTAACGGTCCGTCATGAGACCTTAATTGAACCCAACACAGATTATGTGCTGCAACATATGCAGTAGAGAAATAGCAAAATGTTATGATGTGAAAATCTCACAATAAAGTGTTTTTTAAATCCGTTATAAATAAATATAATGAAAAATAACAACTACACTAAATAATAATACTGAAAATCAAATAAATTCTAGTGAAATCGTGGTCCTTGGATGAATAACACTTGTGTCGCTGTATTTGGCTCACTTCGTCTTTTCAGAATCCGCAATTTCCGAGACCAAATACCATTTACAAGAATGGCACCACCGCGCCCTTCGTATGAGTCGGAGCTTCAAGGGGAAGGCTTGACTGGAACTTGTCTAAGGGAAAACAATAATAATCACAGTTAATAGCAAAGTAAATAATAATTTAGTAAACACTGGTATGATTTTTACTAGAAGCATCACAGGTATATATGCATGTGTAAGTGTAAGGAATGTGTAAGTACAAAAAAACTGTAGTGTAAAATAAAACATACATATTTTTTCTAGCTAGCATATAAAAATGTCATAACATTTGTTATAAAATATTCCCTTTGGGAATTACACGGCCATACTTGTACATACTATACAAATTGAGTGCCATTGTCAAAGAATATATCGTTGCCAGATTTATTTTTATTTATGTATTCAGATAGAACCCAAGTTTAAATGCAATTGTCTAAATCTAAAACTATGAGTTGGGCAAAACTATATGTTGAATTTCAAAAAAAAAAGTGCTCCTATGACCTAAAACAGTTATAAAAAGTTCTTCAAATAACATACGTATTATTAAAAATATCTTATAGGTGGGAGAGTGATATTTGTTCTGCAGACTGGGCAACGACTCAAATCCAGACGGCTTGGATTAGAACTCCTCTCCGAGCAGTACCCACAGAGCCTGTGTCCACACATCAGAACAAACCGCATCTTTCTGCTGAAGCATCTGCATCTGCATCTGAAAATTAAATCGATGAAAGAGCAGATTAAACAATAATGTTTTGACAGGTGATGGATGCAGGGTCCCTAAAACTTGACTCAGAGCATGTCGTGTTGTGAAGAATGAGTTACCTAATTAGTTCGAATTAAGGATTTCATGTACGAGTCTGATGTAGGTAGTCATCTTCGGCCACCAAAGTAGGTAAAAAGAGATGTAAGAATATGGAAGTTCTGACTGATCATAGGTGTTCTTGGTGGCATGACGCTATTCTTGATCCTAAAAATGATGACAGAAATCCCAAATGATTAAGTGCAAATGGCTGTTATTCTTATTTCGCTTAATTTATGTTGAGTACATGATTCTCGATTTCAATAATCACGTACTTCAAGGAGTTGAGATGTTTTATCAAATGATCCCAGCGCGTTCTCAGTATGTATCGGAGAAAGGGCCTGACTGAACCGATAAAAATAGAGCATTGTGTCATTCGATGCAATGGATGTGTATTGTAAACAGAATAATTAAAATTCTGATAGATATGTTGTGGAACAGAAGCATAAACTCAATATTTTCAGTAAGTATTCCTATACACAAGAATCTTTTATGATAGTTTTAAAGTTTAAAGAAAACACAGATCGAATCAACCAATAGCAATGGCCGATAGCGAATGGTTTCATGGTGTAAATGGGTCTTCAAGGCAGCCAACTGTCTTAAAATTTCACTCAACATTATAATGCAGAATTATGTAAAATTAGAAACAATGAAATAATAAATTCAAGTAATTTATCATATTTGAACTTCTTCACTGTCATAGGGCTCTTCTTAGATCTTCAATGAGTTCAAAACTTCAACTTCCGCCATTATTCCCACGTAGTATAAGCGAGCGCATGGACTATAGGATTATGACAAAGTACGTTATGATACATTACGTTATGATGTTTTACGTTATGGATTATGACAAAGTACGTTATGATACATTACGTTATGATGTTTTACGTTATGATGAAGTACGTTATGACGCATTACGGTTTCTATCGATTACGATTATGATCGTTTGATGTTATGATGCATTGCTGTTATGATGAATTGTGTTTATGATGCATTGTGTTTATGATCGAATGATATTATGATGCGTTATCGTTATAACGGAGTACGTTATGAAAAAGTACGTTATGATGAAGTATATTATGATGAATTACATTATGAAACTGTACATTATGTACGTTTCTATCTTGTACTATATGATCAATTGCGATTTCTATCGTTTGACGTTATGATGGAGTAAATTTCTGTGTATTACGATTTCTATCTTTTACATTATGATGCATTAGGTGTCCCCTATTCAAACGATATATTGATTGAATACTAATATTTTCATCGGAAACTTCGAAGTACACATGTAGATTACAAGGTTTCCTTGTGAGTAAATTTTTATTTCAATAGTCTTTCATATTTCATAAGTTTAAAAATATATGCTTTCCAATACCGGGGGATCTGAACAGTTTTTTAGAATTTCTACAAAATTGTACATTGTTACACTCTTATAATCAAAGAAAAGCTAAATCTCAATTTACTAATGAACTAATTATTGAAAATTCAAGGAGTTATAAATACATATCAGCAGAAGTTATTAAATCATAAAATATACTATAAAAAGTATAGGACATAATAGACTACACGTAACATTTTTTAATTATGAGGGTTGTAACTATGAAATATGAAACATATATTCTATATTAAATAAATAGGTATTCTAATCTGTTTTCGTTCATATTTGAAAACAAATAATTTTGATGATATTCAGATTGCTGAAATTATGCTCGCAAGACGCAACAGTTACTGGCATTGTCAAAATATTCTCTGGGTCATTTCGATATTTGGATAGGCATTTCTCGATCCAAAGTTTGAAATAACTTGCAAAATATCCAAGTGGCATCATGGTACATGGCATCAAAATTACCTGCACACTTTTCAGCGAAACAAACAGAGCTCATGGACTTTCCTGACTACAAAATGAAGCCTAATAAAATTGTGTGGTAAATGTATGTTGTTTTCCATTTTTTTATAATTCTATCAAATACAGTGCGCTTCGTCGTCAGCCATATTCTTGGCTTTTCTTTGAGTCATAATGGCAAAACTAATAATAAATAAACTGCACACGTCTAGAAAAAGGTTATTTCTGTTTCTATCATCAGGAATATTCGGAGCATAAACTGAACGAGAAAAAGTGATTTCCGTGCAATTCAATATTCATATTTGAAATTGGTTCTTTGAAAACATTTTTTTTTTCAGTTTGTATCAGAAACAATTTTCTGTACATGATCTACAAATCTTTGTAAATAGTTTGTATAAATATATATAATTCTTACCTGGAAGACACGAAACAAAATGGTTTTTTGATTGTGATGGTTTTGATTTGGAAGTCTGCTTTATATTATACCTATGAATCTGGCCTTATAAATTATTTCACAAATTTTCTTCATGATTACCGATTTTATCGATTCTCTTGCTTTTCGTTTCTGGTAATTTCCCACTGTCACTTCCTTACCGTGTTGGAACACTAAAAATCTCTTGCAATAAAGAGTTGTTCTGTTTAAACTCTGTTTAAAATAAATTGATGGATGTAGCCGTTACTATGTGGTAGGAGATCAATAATTTTTTATTATTGTTTAAGTTTGAAAATGTCCATATAGGAGGAAATTGCAGTAACGTTAGTTACAAATAAAAGTGGTAAAAAACATAGAAATTTTCATTTCTCTTTTCATCTGTTTAAAATCTGTTTTTCTGTTAATCAGCTGTCGCACCCCTACGAACAACAACCCTCAGAAGTCCAAACTGGAAGCCTGGAACAAAAAATGTATTTATCGCCAAAATGATAATCCAATTCAAATTTTTCCTAAAGACGTTTTCAAGACGGCACATTCACTGTTTTCTACAAAACAGAAAGTAGTACAATTATCAGATAGTTGAAAATTCCTAAACAAGCGAAATAATGTTTTGGATGGTTTCCGGGTCTTGCCGTGGTCTTTGGTTATAATCTCCAAACGTTTCAGTTGACACGTCAAGAAGAATACTTCGACCGACCACGCCACTGAAGATAACTGTCGCAGTTGCAGTCGAAACTTTTGGAGATTATAACCAAAGAAGACCACGGCAAAACCTGGAAACCATCTAAAACATTGACGCCAACCGTGAAAGCCTGCATTCCTGTGTGAGCGAAATAATATTTTAATATTTCACTTTGTCAACAGATTTCATGATTGATCAAAGTCATAAGACATACTTCAATCTACTTACTAAATGCATCTAAAATAATCAAGGATTGCTCGTCCAGAAATAGTCCCATGAAACATAGATGATATCATAAATATCTTCAATTTTGTAGTCGAGCCCAGACCACCAAGAATAGAAACGAACAAGACCCTTCATTTCGGTGACTCCCACTCAAGACAAATACATCATTTTTTGAATATTCACCTGTAAAACTGTTAGAAGGTTTCCACGATCATTTCACATCAAACAGTTCTTTTATATATCTACTCGAGTCGTTCAGAATTTTGCAATAACTTCGTACGCTACTTGAGTTTAGAAAACGACAACATGCGTTTCACTGGCTTCTTTTAGCGTAATTTCTAATTATGAAAATCTTAGTAATGTTGTGTATTTGATATCAAAGCAAATTCTTAGTGGTGCTTCTTGATTGTAGTAATAAATTAAATTATAACAACTTCAACTAATCACTCAATACCTTGGGTTTTTTAATCAGTATACAAAAAAACTCATCAAAATATACATGTAACAAAAGTTGCAACCTAATTGAGGGTGGTCAATTTGAAAAGAAAAAGCCAAAATTATATGAATCAAATAGGGATACGGAGTTGGAAGAAATATTCGTCTTAGGAGCTGTTGAAATCAATCTCAAAAAGTCAACGCGTAATTTGAAAATATCAACAGACCTACCAAGAACTAACGTTAGGAGGATTTTGAAAAAACACAAATTCAAGCCATACAGTATCAGAAGAGTCCATCAAATCAGACCAGGAGATTTTGAGCGTCGCATGGCTTTTTGTCAGTGGTTCTTGGAAACAAGTGCGTGATTTTTCGTTAAATTTTATTTGGACAGACGAAGCTTATGTGAGCAGTGCCGGCATTTTCTTTGGCACACCAAAATTCTAATTATATTGTGGGGCAGAGGAGTCGAAGAAGATTTGGATTAAATACGTGAGCAGGTGTTTTCAAGAGTAGAATTATCGGCATGTTCATTTTAATGGCACCCTCACATCCCAGAGGTATTTAGAAATTTTAAGGCGAAATATTGAACTCCTTGTTGATGAATTGTCAATAATGGAGCTCAGAAAAATATATTTTCAACAAAACGGGGCTTTGCCTCACAATACTGCAATTTTCACCAAATTTTCGGCTGAAAATTTTTGGTAATAATTGGACAGTCATCCAAGGACCCAACCGTTGGCCGTTCAGGTCGCCGAACCTAACGCCTATGGACTTTCACTTCTGAGGGTTGAAGGATCTCATTTTTAAATTGCCGACCGATACGAATTGGAAGTGGCAATGATGCAAAGTTTTGCTTCTCTCACTCCTATTGAACTAATTGATTCGGCAGAAAAAACGTTCAGAAAAGGTGTAGAAGCTAGTAGACATTTCGAACACCTTCTCTGAAAAAATATATTTCATTGTTTGTTCTTTATCATTATTATTATTGTTGAAGATTTTTTTATTAGTAGTAAAAAGCCTTCTCAACATTTGATAGCTACTACTGAACCATTTCTTTCTGTTTTATCGCCGCATCGTTCAAAGCCTACTTAATCAAAATGTGCGTTTCAAAGTCTACATGAAAAAACCTAAAAACTTTGTATTTCAAAGATGACTCTAGAAAAACAGCAAGTGTGCTACATTTCTTGGAAAGGTGATTTCAAGCTCTATTGAAAGATGTAGGAATATATAGTGTAACGAATCTGAAGCCGCAACTGACCCATACGCTAGCCAATTCATCGAATAAATACATAACTCACCGCGAAAGAATGCAGTCTGATACCACCGCGAAAATTCTAGACGAGTACCGAACAGACTACAAAATTCTACGATAGAGATTTACCGGTATAAAAGGCCAGCTTCTCGTACAGAAAGGGCCGTTGAGTTCAGAAACTGAATCGAGCGGTTAAATAAGGAATTCAAATAGTGGAAATAAATTAAGCGTTAAGTGCTAAGTGTTGTAAATAAATTAGTTTGTGATAGTGACATATTGTTAGAAATAAATTAGTTTTGGGGATTCGTTGTGTATTGCGAAGTGGACAGTACCAGACTACGAAAATATAAACTGAAAAATAAGACGAAAAATAAATAAGTTTCAAACTCGATTAAAATAGGTGGACAAAATGTGTTCGAGGAAAGTGCGCCTAATGAACTTGAAAGTCGCCGAATTGAAGCAAGAATTGGATGAGAGGGAGCTAGATTGTTCTGGAAAGAAATCAGTACTTCAGTACTTGATTGAATCAGGAGAAGATCGCGGAACATATTTATTTGAAGTTAATGAGGGTGATTTGAGTTCAATAATGA